GGGATGCCCGTGCACCAGCATGGGGGTGAGGCTGCAGAGGACCAGACCTCGTGTGCCATCCCATCCCCTCTCCTGCCTCTCCAGCTGTTCGAGTTCAGCATCCCCGAGAAGCAGTACACGGCCTGGAGCCGCATGGTGCAGAACTGTGGGCTGCACAAGGTCTGGCTGGAGAGGGACACGCCCATCACCCACATCACCTTCAACCCCAAGAACCCGTCGCACATCCTGCTCCACGACACCTACATGTTCTGCGTCCTCGACAAGTCCCTGGTGAGCCTGTGTGTCCGGTCAGGAGCGCTGTGTGGGCATCCAGGGCATCTCCCTGGCTCGGCTCTCTCATCCCCGCTGGAGCGGGGGTGATTCGGATGGCGCTGATGCGTGCCTGCGCTCTCCTCGCAGCCCTTGCCAGACAACAGTGCCCTCCTGATGAACCAGAGCACCCTGAAGCAGCTCCCGGAGACTGCCAGGCAGCGGCAGCTCCACGCCTTCAAGATCTGCAAGAAGTTCCAGGTGGGTGACGGGTGTTGCCCGCTGGGTGCCATGTCCAGGAGGAGGGGGTCAGGGGGGTTTCCTGGTGCCAGCTTGCTCTCATGCCCAGTCGCTCCCGGTGCGGTACCAGCGGCGGGCACCCGAGCAGCAGAGCAGAACTCGCTCTCGGTCCCCATCGCGGCGCAGCTGGTTGCTGTGATCTCGTGTACTTGCACTGCCGGCAGCTCCTGCAGCACAGCCCCCAGGCCGTGCCCTCGTTATGGCTAAGCCGGAGCCGGCTGGAGAGCAGCTCTGCGTGGCCGAGCCCCCGGGCCAGCACCGTGCTCTCACCTCCTGCCGCCTCCCTGTCCCACAGCCCCTGCTCTTTGCGGATCTGCTGGATGAGAACTGCCTGGTGATGGTGGAGAGGCCCATCATGGACATCAAGACCCAGCTGCCGCTGCCCATCCAGCAGAAGAAGTTTGGCACCTGAACGCAGAACAAGCCGCTCCAGCTGCAGAAACTGTGCTGCTTTCCCCGGGGGCTGTAGGAATAAACCCGGCTGTTCTGTACGGCTGCAGGCTCAGGCTCGTCCTTGCCCTCTGAGGCTCGGAGCGGCAGGTCAGGTTGGTGCTGGCCTGAGGAC